ACACACACACACACACACACACACACACACACACACACACACACACAACCTCCTACTCAATTGCTGGTACTATTTTTCTTGGATCCTGTGATGATTGAAAGATGAATCCACCAACCTTATCCTGGCACAGGGACATTAAAGATTAGTTCCTCTCTTTACCCCCACCTTTTACCCTTTTGATAATATAAGGAACCAAATGTTCACACAGAAGTTTCTTTTGCTTGAGAGTGAAAACAAGTAGAAGGGTCATATTCAATTCCCTCTTATATTGCCAGAAATGTTGCTAGGCTTCTCATGGCAATTTTGGTTCTTAAAATCAAAGGCAGCACAGGAGGACCAGTTTTCCTCCTGTGACCCCTTTGCATCTGATATATTGGGTATTTCTGAAGTAATTAAAGGAGTTGGCCCAGATCAAAGGACCAGAGGACTAAGACGAAAAAAGCTAGAGAGATTGGCGTATGTCCCAAAGGTTAGCTGAGGAAGTGGGGGAAGTAGAAATGGTCCTGATACAGAATTTGAAGTCCAGATTTGGACTTGTTCACCCAATATAGCCCAATAAGGGCCTTTGATCTCCAGATGTTTCATGGACAAGGTATCTACAGTACAGGATGATAGTCAAAGAATGAAGATAGAGTGGATTAAAACCCAGGCCAGTAAGTACTGACAAGAGATAGTACCTCAATTTATATTGCAGGTGAAAGAGGGCAGCAAGTGGTCACAACTGAAAATGGTGAAATGAGTAGGTTCAGGAGTGAATTCGAGATTGACTCATGTTCCATATGGTTTGGGGATGGTGGATATGGATCCACAAGACCATGGGAGGAGAAGCTGCTGGCCTAAGGTTGACAGGAAGACATTTTTAGAATGAGAAAGTCAGATCAAATGGCAAGTTGTGCCAGAAAAAGCAAGCCTTGGATGGAGAGTTGTTTGGTTACTGCTCCTCTCCATTGAACCTTACTATTTTCTTTGTTTTCTTGCAGTGATTTGCAAGGAAATCTATTATTAATTTGATTTTCCATGGAACAAGCTCCAGGTAGATGAGATAGTTGAAATGAAAGTCTCATTTCATCTTGATCTGGGTTATTTGACATTCACTGGTCCCAACATAGTTCTTGGAGATTATATAGGGAGGATCCAATGCTTCTGGGCCAGAAAGTTGAATTGTCACATTGGATGGGGTACTATTTGGACAAACTGGAATGAAATTCTATGGCTTTTCAGCCATGCTTATAGCATAATATTTGGTGCACTCCTGGGACTCCAGTTTAATGTATAGGAATCAGCACAGACATAGGAGGCCCACTTGAGATAAGCCAAATATCCAATAAAAGAAGTTTTTGTCTTGCTTTGCACATAGGTTCCCAAAGTAGACAATACTGCCCCCTGGGGGGTGCTGGATTGATCCAAGGGTATGGTAATAGTTTGAAATGATGCAAATTTTAAACCAAAAAAAAACACTAAAGGGTTAAAGAAAGTAGACTTCCAGGGGGCACTGAATAATTTTTTTTTTTAAAGAGGGCGGTAAGCCAAATAAGTTAGGGAACCTCTGGCTAGGGCAATGTTTGGATAATGAAGATGTTAAGGCTGAAGTGTGAAACAGGAAATCTTTTGCAAAGAAGAGAATGCAGAGTTCTTCTGGGTGGACAGTGTTAGGAAACCCTTAAGTTATCGGTTGCTGTTGAATCAGCTTCCACATTTGTTCTATTACTTTCCCTCTCCAAGCAGAGTCAACCACTTTCTACCCAATTTCCAATTCCTGCTCATCTGACAAATCTAAAAGATGTTGATCTTTCAAATGTTCTTGTCCATCAGCCCTCTTCCTCCTTTCAACCTAAAAGAGAATGGTCTATATTGTATTTGTTGAGTCAACAACATTTTTTTTTGGTTGTCCATGAAAATACATGAGCATACTTATGTATGCTGTATGTATGTCTGTCCATTAATATGTGCATATACAAATTCAGTAATCATGGCTCACATTCATGTCTGTATAATATTGGAGAAATTGTTTCCCCAATGACTTTCCCCCTATTTTTCTAATCAGTGTTCTGTGTTTGCACCTGGCTTGGCTAAATGTGTATGTTTTAACATGTGTATGATTCTGCAGTGCCTTTGCATGCACAATTTGTCATCTTCTTAGACATGGTCTGGAGAAGATGCAGAAAAAAGGAAGAGCTTAAACCAAACAGTGAGCGGTTCCGAATTTGCTGGTCACACTGTTGGCCATCATTTTAAGCTTTTCCTTTTGTGTTTGTGCAGTGTTCCCAGAAAGTGTTGTAGTGCTATTGCCATTACAATTGTTTGTGTGTGTGTGTGTTTGTGCCAATGTGTTACATTTCTTTGTGACTGTATGCCGTGTCCTGATGTTTTGTTATTATCCTTGCTCTCCCTGCTCTCCTGTCTCTCGCCGCCTCCATGGTGGATGCCTTTGTTACCTCTACTTAATCGGACCTTCCACTTCATTTCTGTAGGTAGAAGTAAAGGTAGAGATCACTTTATTTTTTATCATTATAACTATTGCTGTGCTTTTTTCAATTATTCATGTGTTCAGGGGGGAATTGTTCATTCTGATGAATGTAAACCAGATCAGAACTTAAGGCTTTTAATGACAACTAAAAAAAATACTAAAAATACCAATCCTACTGTCTGCCTCCAATGTGCCTTGGGTTTATATAGACAGGAATGTCCCAGAAGTCAGCTTGTCTCCCATTACAACTTGATAGTGCTTTAGCCACTTTGTCTTACCTATTCCTAGGAAGGAAGTGGGTCATGCAGGTAATGAACACATTGTAGCTTCAGATGTTCAAGGAGGGGAAGTGTATTTTATGTGCAAAGGGGAGTTCTCTAAGAACTGAGATAACAGGTTAACTTGTTAGCCTGTTATAGAAGGGATCAGTGTAGGGGATGGAGATATTAATTTATTTTGCATTGTTTAAATATTGCATGGGGATTGCTGAAGTTTTGGATGATATTCTGTGTGTGTGTGTTGTGTGTGTGTGTGTGTGTGCAAGGGAGAGAGAGAGAGAGAGAGAGAGAGAGAGAGAGAGAGAGAGAGAGAGAAATGGGATCCAGCAGATCATCTACTGGCCAGGGAGTAAAAGGGTAGGGGAAGAATGGGCTAACTAATCATCTTCATTCTGATTTAAGGAGAATACTGTGGCATTCATTTGTTTGAATCCCTTCCTTTGTTTCTCTTACTTTTGTTGTCCTAACCAAGTCTGTTTTGTTGTTTTGTTGTCCTATTGTCCTAACCAAGTCTGGAAGCAGGAATGTGAAGGCTGAGGAAGTCAAGGGTAGAAGGGGAGGCATGAAAAGGAAATGGCATTTTATTATGAGTTATGGCCAAAGGAAGGAACTTGGCAAGTCTTTCTTTTTTCTTGTCAATCATGGAGAATGAGAGAAGCTGGATGAGTTTGCTCTGGTGCTTTGACGTGCCTCTCAGTAGCTAATGCCTTTTGGGTAGCTCATGTGGAGCCATCCATTCTTAATCAAAGCTGTCAAAGAGGCAAAGCATGGAAGACTTGGCATAGTGTTCAAATTGGATTAGCTCTTTAGAAGATGGGAGAAAGTAGAAGAAATAGTCAATTAATAAAATAAAAATATGTATCTGAATCCACCTCCTCCCTCTTAATGAATAGCTTTCCCCACTTTGTCTCAGTGAGAACATTCGGCCAGCTTCTTCACAGGTAGGCAACCTCTGCTGAAAAGTTGAACTAAAAGGGATGAAATTCTGGTTCGAGGAGAAGGGAGAGAAAAGGGGTTATGGGAACGATTAAAGAGTTTTGGTTGGTGATTGGTTTGTAAGGTCATTGACCAGCTCCAATTTCAGTATTGCATTTTTTTGAATGTGACAGCTAAAGATTCCTTGAGCATTAGGTTGGTCAAATAAAGAATCTTATTGATTGACCTAGAAGAGATCAAATCTGTATTACTTCTCTCCCCTTCCAGGTTGAATGTACCAGCTATTATTGATAAAGCATTCCCAGGTGGTTTCATTTTTGAAGGATGTTATGTATAACCTATGACACAGTGCTGTCTTGGGATCCTCTGAT